AATAAAGTGAGGCGGCCTAGACCTCTGTGTCCCCTGTCCCTTTCTCCTCGTGGTTCTACCATCCAGGGCTTCTCAACAGTCAGGAAACAGCAAAGTGCTTGGTCTAGCTAGTGCTGGCCCCTGGTTGTTCAAGTTTCAGGATATGTGTTACATACAGTCATTACTAATTACTAAAATTAAATTCCAATTAAATGCATTACATTACGGGGCGCCTGGGTGGCTCAGTTGGTTAAGCGGCCGACTTCGGCTCAGGTCATGATCTCACAGTCTGTGAGTTCAAGCCCCGCGTTGGGCTCTGTGCTGACAGCTCAGAGCCTGGAGCCCCTCTCAGATTCTGTGTCTCCCTCTCTCTCTGCCCCTCCCCTGTTCATGCTGTGTCTCTCTCTGTCTCAAAAATAAATAAACGTTAAAAAAAATTTTTTTTAAATGCATTACATTACAATAAAGGTAATACAGGGCCCCTGGGTGGATCAGTGGGTTAAGCATCTGACTTCAGCTCAGGTCGTGATCTCACCGTTTGTGAATTCAAGCCCCACATCTGGCTGTTGACACAGAGACTGCTTCAGATCCTCTGTCCCCTTCTCTCTCTCCCCTCCCTGGCTCATGCTCTCTCTCTCTCTCAAAAATAAAGAAACATTAAAAACTTTCTGAAAACAAATAAGAATTTTATATTTTACCCATCGTGGATTTCTTTTTGGATCAGTTTTAATCTTTCAAAAATATTGTATTAAAATGCAATTTATCTTGATTGCTGATGATTTTGTTTTGTCAGCTTCGTCTTAGATTTGGGAACCTTCATCCTGACCCTGGGAAATACTATATTACTGCATGATGGCATGCTAATAGGCCTCTCTTCTTGGCTTCGTATTCAGTGACTTCACATCGGTGGCTTGAAATCAGCCGTGCTGCGAGTATTTACACCATGGAAATAGGCAGACTACACAGCAGGGCTTCATAAAGTTGGTAACAGCACACCGTGGGAGGCACACCAAGTCTTCTCTGGCCTCCACGTCTGAATCCTTTGCGTATTTCCCTCTGCTACACCAATTCCCTCCTCCCCGACCCCCAAAATGTCCAACTCCAGCAGGGGATCTTTCTCTGAGTTCTCTCTTGCCTTCCTTTTCCAGCAGAATGGCCACAGCAGTCTATACCCTGTGACTCCCAGCACTTTATATTCAGGGAACCCGATGGTAGGATGCTGGAGAATATAGCTTTGGGTGTCAGACATGCCTGGCTTTACATCTTGCCATCACCTGCTGGCTGAGAGACCTCGACCAGGTGACTTAACCTGCCTTTGAGTTCCACAAGGGCAGGACATGAGTGAGGCACGTCTCCAGACCAGCCCCAGCACCCAGGACGGTGTGCAACACCCAAGGAGCCTGGCTCTCCAGCTCCACGACCTGAGGTAAGTCAGTCACCCTTTCTGTGCCTCAGTTTTCTGCTCTGTAAATTGGGAACGATAACATGCAGCTGGCTGTGGTGTCAGGGATTGAAGGGGGTCCACCTGCCATCCAAGGACAGTTCTGGGCACTGGGGAGTGAAGCTGGGTCTCAGCAGTCCCTGCGGGACTCACTGGCCTCCTGGCTCTTTTGAGAACATACCAAGCCTGCTCTTGCCCCAGGGCCTTTGCAACTTAGGGTTCCTTCTGCCTGGGATTCTCTTCCCCTTCATCTTTATTTTATTGTGGTAAAGTACACCCAACATAAAGTTGAATGACACTTAGGATATTTACAATACTGTGCAACCATCACCACTATCCAGCTCCAGAACTTTCTCATCACCCTGTGCTCATTAACCCTCTCCCCATTTCTCCCTCTCCCTAGTCCCTGCAAACCACGAATCTACTTTTCCCCCCCCTCTTTGGATTTGCCTCTTCTGGATATTTTACACAGATGGAATCATACACCAAGTGGCCTTTTGTGTCTGACTTCTTTCACTTACAATCACGCTCTCAAGGTGCATTAAGCTGTAGCATGAATCAGCATAAAAACTCCTTCTTATGACTGAATAGTATTCCATTATACGTCCCCCTCACCTTTGCGAGCCTCATTCCTTCTTGTCGTTCACAACACAGCCCAAACATTACCTCTTCAGGAAAGCTGTCCCTGACTGCCCTTTCTAAATCATCTCGGCCCTCACTAACTTACTGCCCACAAGGATCATCATTTGTAATGATTTTGTTCTTCTCATTTGTCGGCTTTCTTGTTGAGACGTGGAACCAGGGACTCTAACTAACTCAGAGCAGATTCGATCCCAGGACTTAGAGACAGACTTTCTGGCTGTATGATCCTCAGAGGTCATGCTACTTCTCTGAAGCCCAGTTTCCTTATTTGTCGACTGGGATTAATAATCACGTCCATTTCACGTGATGGCTGTGAGGATTATTGTTAGCAGCAGCAGCAGTAATAGTGATAATAATAATGCATAATGCTGTTTTCATTAAGATGTCCCCTAACTCACTCACACATACGAAATTATTGCATTTTTTAAAGAAATTTGTTAAATCACTTAACGGGGCATCTGGGTGGCTCAGTCAGTTAGGCGTCTGACTTTGGCTCAGTTCATGATCTCACAGCTTGTGAGTTCGAGCCCCATGTCGGGCTCTGTACTGACAGCTCAGAGCCTGGAGCCTGCTTTGGATTCTGTGTCTCCCTCTCTCTCTGCCTCTCTCCCACTCGTGTTCTCTCTCTCTCTCAAAAATAAATAAAAACATTTAAAAAAAGAAAAAAGGAGAAATTTGTTAAATCGCATGGACATCACAACCTGTGTAACATCAGATTTCCCTTTTCCCATTGGCTATCAGGAAGCTCAGTGCAAGTTAGTACTCTGCCTTTTCTTTAGTATATGGGGGAATCTTTTGCCTCATTCTCCACTTAACCTGCTGGTCAGAGAGCTTTCTTACCAGGACACCTGGGTGGCTCAGTTGGTTGAACATCCAACTTTGGCTCAGGTCATGATCTTGCGGTTCGTGGGTTCGAGCCCCACGTCGGTCTCTGTGCTGACAGCTCAGAGCCTGGAGCCTGCTTTGGATTCTGTGTCTCCCTCTCCGTCTGCCTCCCCCCCGCCACCAACTGCTTGAACTCTGTCTCTGCCTCTCTCAAACATAAATAAACATTAAAGAGAGAGAGAAAGAGAGAGAGAGCTTTCTTACCAAATTGCATGGACCTCTGTCTGCCACCTGAAATCCTGTCCAGGATAAGAGGAAGGAGAAGCCAATGTAACGATCATCTTTCCTAGACACAGATCAGGAGGCAGACTTTGTTGAAGGAAGACGGGTGTAGTTAGAGGCATTGGCTTTCCCTGTGTAACTCTGTCCTTTCTGCCCGTCGCTGGGAACTTCATTCCCAGACTCTGCATCTCTACTTTGTTTCCTTGATGAGAGTAAGTCGTTTGGAGGTAAAGTCTGGATTTGCATCAACTCGGGGTTCCCAGCGTCCAACAGAAGCTGCCACACTGAAGACATCATGAAAAATAGAATGGATAAACGATGGAAGAAGAAAAGGAAGGGAGGGAAATATGGGCATGGAAATCTATCTAAGTCATGGGTGAGGGAGTGGATTAAATTCATGAGCAAGTAAGTGATTCATGGACTCCTGACAACGAGCATAAAGTAGGTGTTGTCATTACCACAATTTTTTCAGGTGAGGAAATTGAGGCTTGGAGGGGTAAGTGGTGGATGGTGGGTGGGTGGGCCCGTTTCCCTCAGTGTGTTTCCAGGATGGGCAGCCCTATCCTTGCCCTTGTGCGATCCCACCCTCTTGCCAGCCCTGCCCCTGCCCAGCCCCCATCGGTGAGCATCAGGTCAAGCCACCAAAGTTGGTGAGTATTTATTTGGTCCTGGAGCAGTGCAGGAATCCGACTAGGGACAGGAGCGGGTGATCCTGTGCAGGAAGAGGGGCACTTGGGAGCGAAGGGGGTAGTAGGCTGGGTCACTGATTGTCAAAGCAGAGCGTGGGACCCTGGGGGTGGGGGAGACCAGATGGCTCCCCTCCCCCAGGGGTCCCTGGGGCTTCTGGGTATGTGCTTGGTGGGAGAGTTGGCAATTACCACGACCGGTATGATGGGGGATGGGACGGCAGGACTGTGTCAGGTTGGGCGGAGTGGGGGTGGTGAGCGGTCAGAGAAGGCTTAAAGGCAGACCCGGGCCTGGCTTTGGCCAGGAGTCTGAGGTCAGGGGCCGAGTCCGGGCTTGGCAAGGGGCTGGAGTTGGGGATCAGGGTGCAGGCAGCGGCCTCGCTCGGTCGGGGGGCCGCAGGGAGTGCCACTGGGCAATGGGCCGCCGGGGGCTGGCCAGCATGTCTGCCCAGTGCCGCAGGCCGGCTCCCCCTGCCGCCGCCCCTACCGCCACCCTCCCGATGGCCTCGTTCTTGCCCAGCTTGTCATAGTCCAGCACGGTCAGCTCCACCTGGACCTTCTGC